CTTCCTATGAATTGTTTTAGTGCTATCTACAGAATTGCATTTTCATCTCAGGAAAAAAAATCCAAGAATATGTACACACATATACACACATACACATTCAATTTTTGAAAGCCAAGTGGCACGGACTTAAATCCCCAGGGAAAGCACAGGCCTATCTTGTAAAGCCGTCTCCATTACTTAGGTGTTATCAGTGATAAGGAGTTAAGCCAGACCTGCAGGAGGCAGCAGAATATCCATGGTCTCGCTGAGTCAGTCTAATTCAATTAGGGGAGGACTGTGGGTCCTATTTGGTTCCTTCGAGTAGACCATAAGAGAAAAATTAGGCTGATCCATCTATTTATGTGTACATTATGCAACAAATTGGACTCCTCGAAGATCATGTGGGTTTATAACAATAACAACAACAAACATTCAAAAACATAATCAGCTTTAAGAAATGAGTGAACTAGAGATCACATGCATCTGAAATGAGGTTGTTTCTGAGTAATAGGAACGTCTTTTATTTCCTGCAACATAGACTTACAAGTGAAAGTGCTAAAGAGAATGAAAAGGAAATGCATCCTCTATATTTTTAATTTGAAAAACAAATATATCCTATTATCTAAGAAAGCCAGTTTCCTAATGATTTTTGGGCAAATGCAGTTGGGCTTGAAAGGTTTTCCCTTCTCAAAATTCATCTATTTCTACCTTAAGTACAAAAAGAGGTGCTCCCAAACAGGTGCATGCCATTTCTACATCTTTGGACATTTTCTGTGTGTATAAATTTGAATTGATAATACTTGATATTCTAAAAACAAAAATGACTGTCATACAGACCCAAGATGTAGAAAGTTCTATGTTATATGTAATTTGAAATTACATGACCTTAAACTGACCAAACTACTTAAGTTTGAACATTATGTAGATGTACATATATATACATCTTCATTTTCATTTTTAAAACCACATTTTCACGTTTTCCTAAATGATTGCTGGAGCCCTTCCTATAACAGGAAAATATTTGTCACGAAAGCTTTGACTATAGATAACCTGAAGTCTTTAATAAGCAGGTACAAAGTTTCAGTATTTTCTCTATTTTTTTTAAGCTTATGTATAATCATGATAAACTAGTAACTCTGGAACATGTCAGTTTATATTGTGATAACTGTCAGAGCTACAAACGTGACATCTATAATCATTGTCAGCCATAAAAAATATATAGTAAATTGGGATAAATTTAGTTCAGTCATTCAAACAGAATGAAGGTTGTCACCTGCTCTCCTTTGTGATTTGATTACCTTGGACTAGATTTTCCTCAAGAAAAAGAAATAGAAATTAATAAGAATAAAAAAAAGAATGAAAAGAAGAAAGGCATTAAAAAGACCAGCGCTCATAAAGGGCGAGGCAAATGATTCTTCAAGGAGCTTAATACAATTTGCCAGTTTGCATGGACTTAAGGAGTAAATTTTCTTCTTGTGATGTTAAAATCTGCATTGTCATTTTCTAAGCAGATATAATACAAATAACCCTGAGCACGTTTCCCCTGGCCTCCCCGCACAGAAGTGCGGTCAGAGGGGAGTTTCCCTTGTGCAGTGAGGACAGTCACACCTGCTGGACGATCTCTTTGATTGATGGATTCCCCTCTGTGACACGGAATATGGCACCTTCAGGAAAGGAACACTAGGAGAAAGGACCTAAAAGTGCGTCTAAAATTTTATTTTTAACTTGTGAAGACATTAGTCTTGAAATCCTTGGGGATTATTGTTCTAAATGTCAGTGTATAGCTTTTTATATGAAGTCTCATTTCTGTGTGAAATGCAATTTTAAAATGGTAACTAGAACATCAGAGATTAAAAAAGAATTAACACACTGAACTGCTTAATAATTCAAATTTTCTGTGTCACCTCATGGAAATTATTGTTTAAGTATAAGACTAGAAAATATTTAATTGGTGGTAGATAGATATTCTTAAAGTACAAAGTACAAACACGAGTGAGCATGTGGTAATTTCTTAATGCAGAAAACATACATTGACAAAGATAAATACAAGTTAATTAATGAGAGCTAATTAGAAGTCACACACACAGGCATCTCTATTGAAATCTGCTATGAGTTGGAATTGACTCAATATCTCACAACGATGTTAAAAGCCATATAACTGAATGTATCTATTAAACTCACAATTGAAGAAATAATAATACTCCCCTAATTCATACTGATCCAGATATAAAATGTAAAAAAAAAAATAGTTTAGGAGTGGTGGGTCGGCAACAGCTCTCATTATGCAAATGTTACATAGTGTTTTGGTAGAAATCTCCAGTTATGATAGCAGAGGGCTATGAACATGACCCTTCATATTTTTCTTAAAGGAGTATTAATTAGATTTCTTATCATAGTTCTGAATCATGGAGTTTTGCCGTTTGAATGTAATAGGGCAAGAATGAAGCCTCAACTCCTAGCTTTAAGAGGTAAAGATTGCACAATTAATAAACCCCAATAATGTAGATGTATCAAATAGCCATCTGCACACAGAACTGACAGTGTTCTATATTACATTCATTCTCATTTGAAAAGTATTTAGACATACTTCATTCAGGGGTTTGACCTACAGTCTCCTTTTATTGAACTCTTATGTTCACCCATTTGGTCATGTGATGATAGTTTGTGTTGTCTAACCTTCATCTTGTGTTCATACGAAGATTCCATCTGTGTGCTCTGGGTAATATTAGGTTCTGACTCCAAGGAAAAGCTCTCTCAGCAAACAGAAACAATTTCCCTTAATAGTAACGTTAAATAATTATTGTTAGGCTATGCGTTTCGACTACAGGATGACTTTGGAATGATGGCACCATGATTGGATAGGGAAGGGATGCAAGTCTGATGCGTATGAAATGACCTGGAAAGTGGCTGTGCTGTTTATTATAAATATATCAGAACAAGGGTTCATTTATTATTTTGAAAGAGCTAAGAGCATAAGATAGGTGACAGTTGGAACAACGTATTAACTAATTGTAGAACTTGCAAATGGCAAAAGTGATCATTCACTGTGGAAAGATAAAAGAATTGCACTTGGGTTCTTAGGTTGCCCTTTCTCTTCTGGAATTTTGTATCTCTAACCATGCAAAACAATTTCCACATTAAGAGGCATTTGGCTATTTAAAAACCAGTATCGACCTATCTCCTGCAAGAAAGCAATTTTATCTGTATTTCACATGTAAGTGATGTACGGATTTCACAGTGGGCATACAGACACTGCAGTTTCACTTTGAACATGTACCTGAGGAATTACTAAGAGACACAGACAGTTTTATAGATGTGATGCCTACAGAATCAGTTAAAGAATGGCACTGTTTATGCAGTTTATAATTTGGGAGTGTGCTTTTTTCTTCTACATTTAACATGTAAAAAATAGGTCTTCATGCTTAGAAAGATGAGCACAGCATGCAAAGACCCAAGCGTTGCACCCCAGGCCATGCATGTGAGCAGACTTCAACGTTGCATCCGCCGCCCAGTACCGAGTGAACAGAGGTTTTCAAATAAATGCCCTTCGTCTTTCTTGTGAGAACAAGTTATTCATTCGTGCATTAAGACCTTCCCAGACAACCCTTATAGGTCATCCAGAAAAAAAAAAATGGTAAAAATGTGGTCCAATAGAACTGCTATTGTGTTAAGGGCTCAAACTTGACTCATTATCGGGTACAAGCCCAAATTTACACAAACAAAAAACTATTCTGTTTTATAAGATCACGATCACATGTAAATAGCACTTTCGGGGCCAATATGTAAGGGAGATAGCCAGTCCTTCGGGGGAGTCAGTTCATCTGGGGTCGGTGGCGAAAGCGGGCCAGGCACACACGTTGCACACACGTTCCGAGCTGGAGCCAGAGAAAATGCCGTGCACGGCACGAGGCACCAGCACCGCGCGTGAAGTTGGGGTCGCGGCAAGTACGCGATCTCGCAGCCCTGAGCGGAGGGCTTCCGTGGCGCCAGCAGCTCCCGGGCCTCCGGAAGCAAAGTTTGCAGCGGGGCGAGCTGGCGGCGGCCGGTGCTGCGGCGGCGCGTCCCAGCGTCCGAGCCCCGACTTCGCTCGCTCGCGCCCAGGCTGCCAGAATTAGCCACCCGCCGCCCTGGGCCGGTCGCTTCCCGGGTGCCAGGTCCCTGCCCGCGAGCGTGCACGTCCAGAGTGCGGAAAGGGTTTCGTGGCCGGTCTCGACGGAGATTCGCGTATCCCCCACCCGGACCTGTCGCCGCCCGCCCTTCCCCTCGGCGCCCTGCGTGCCACCGCCGTCCTCCGCAGCGCGGGCGTGGGGTCCATTGGCACGCTCCGCGCCTCCGCTCGCCCGCCCGCCCGCGCTCCCTTCTCAGGGCGGCGGTGCGTCGCGCGCCCGGAGCCTCGGGTTCGCTCCTTCTCCTCAGCGTCTTCGGGCCCTTTGTCATTTAGCAAAAAAAAAAAAAGAAGTACAAAATGTGCGTGCAGAGACCAGCCGCCAAGGCGCCCCCCAGCTGCCCGCCGCGCCGCCCGGGGGTCCAGCGACCCGGCGCTCACGCCCCACGGGCCTCCGCGCCGCCCCCGCCCGCCTCTCGCCCGGCCTCCGCCGTGTGCCGGGGCGGTGCGTCTCGGAGCAGCAGCCGGCTCGCTCGCTGCGGCCCGACCCGCGCCCGCTGGGGCCCGCAGAGCGCAGACGCTGCCCTGCCCGGCCGGACCCTGCTGGGCATGCTCAGTGCGCCCTCTGGAACCCGGCTCTCCCGGGCCCAGGATACGGACTCCGCGTTTTGGCGGCTGCCGAGGGGGCGGCAAGGACGGGAAGCCGGGAGACAGTCAGCGCCTTGTTCCAGGCCCCCGCTGTCGCGCCCGCCTGCGGCCGCCCGCACCGCAAGATGCAGGCCAATCAGGGTCGGGGGGCGGGGCCTCTGCCGTCACGCCCTCCCTCCGGGCTTATTGAGAGTTATATCAAGAAATTCAGTTCAGAGAGAGAGAAGAGAGCAGAGAGAGGAGAGCGGGCCAGAGAAGGGAGAGAGGGAGAGCGTGCACGCCGGGAAGGAGCGCCTCAGTCTCTGAAGCATGAAAGAGAGAACTGATTAGGAATTCTTCAGGCAACTGTCAGCCCCCGGAGAGCAGGCAGAGAATCACCATCACCCCAACTCTGACGTTTCCTACCAGAAGTTAGAGACTTGAGCAGAATTGCTATCGCATGGAAATGGTAGGCTTGGTGCTGTGGAACACACTCCTGAGCTGAAGAAGTGCCACGGGCTGTGCCGTGCATGTGTGCGTGTGTGCTAAACACCAGGAGAGCCCAGACCCAGTGGGTAAGCGAGAGGAAATGTGGAGAGAATGACCGACGACCAATCTGTGAATTTGTTCTTTGGAGTTGCTAATTTGCCAGCCCGAAGCACCACATTTTACAAGGAGGAAACGTTTGGCTGCTTCTGATTTCTCCCTAAACTGGTGCTCCCAGATGCATGGCTTTCTATGTGTTGGAACCTATCCTTCCTAACTGCAGCATACCGAGAAAGGGGAAAGGTGGAGGCAACTCACGTAAGTGTAAAGTTTCGCATGCACAATTGTCAATTCTGTGTCTCCATGGAGCCTCGGTGGAGAAGAGGGAGGTCTGTAATTGGGTAACCGGTCGGGGCAGAGCTCACCCACTCGGCTGTGTCTGCATCCCTACCTGCACCACTCTGCCGGAACTAATCGCGGGCAGCAGCTACCGTGCAGCCGAATGCAGATGAGATTGGTGCTGGGGAGCTGACCAGTCTACTCTAGTCGGTGGCTGCCTGGAGCCTTGCGTCTGTTGAAATTGCAGTTCGAGGAGCATCTAAGCCGCAGCTTTATTTTATTTATTTATTTTTGTCACCTGCATTATGGGTTGCAGTATTTACGTGGGGCAGATGCTGCTAATATAGCCAGGGATCAGAGTTAAGAGGCTGCATTCTTCACGAACCGCCCCCCCCCTTCCCATTAAAAAAAAAAATACTCAGTAGAAAATACCGTGCTGTTTGAGAGGGAATGTTAATTGCGTTTCCCATACATCTTGACAGTCGCTCCCAACTCTAGAATAAGGAATTCCAGAATATTGGACATTTTTTAAAAAGTTTGAATGTGTTTATTAATTCTAACGGGGATAACTGGGCAATATGGAGAAAGGAGAGCGGGCTCTGGGTAAGAGATGTGCAGTCTTGGTATTGTGCTGGTAGGCAGTGAGGCTCCGAAGTGGCCGGTGACTGTCTCTCGTGATGCTGCAGCAGCATGTCGGGATGCTGGTTTCCCAGTAAGATTCTGCTAGGAGGCAGTTGGAGAACTGGGAGGGAAAGAAAGGAAAGATAATCTTTTTAGAAGGAAGAGTGACTCGGAGAAGAAAACACATCACATCTGAAATGTGGCAAAGCAATTAGCAAGAAGCATAGCTAAATACTCAGGTTTTTCACTTGCACACAAAAAAGCCTCCCAAAACAAAACAACACAAAACAAAACTAAGGGAGGTGGGTTCGGCACAAGTAGGCAGCTAGGAGAGGGGGAGGGGAGAAAGGAGAAAAAGAATGCCTGTTTTCAATGAGGCAGCATCCCAAAGACAATGTGGGTGAATACAGGTATAAAAAAAACACAACAGCAGCTGCCCTTAATTCAAAAGTGGCTGCTTCTTCTGTTTCGTGGGCCAATGCAACAAGCAAAGAGAGATTTTGGTTTTTCCTCCATAGAGTTAACTTGCCAACAGTAGCCCAGCACTCTGCCATGTTTCCTAATGTTCAGAGGAAAGTGTGTTGTGATGATCTGTGACTGTGTGTTTGTGTGGGTGCTCTTCCTTTACTGAAGAATAATGTTGTCTATACGATTGTGTTGACAGTGGCTGTATCCAAATAAGCGATGAGATGTAATGCGTCCTCCAGTCCACGCACGCTTCCTCTTGCAATCTGTGCATCTTTCCTCAGTGGATGCCTCTAAGCCCTAAAACCCAGGACAAGAAAATAAATACATTTTATCATGGACCTGAGGGATTTTTACCTGTTGGCTGCTCTGATTGCCTGTTTAAGGCTGGATTCCGCAATAGCTCAAGAACTTATTTACACTATTAGAGAGGAGTTGCCTGAAAATGTGCCCATAGGAAACATACCAAAGGATCTGAACATTTCTCACATCAATGCTGCCACAGGGACCAGCGCCAGCCTTGTCTACAGACTGGTTTCTAAAGCTGGGGATGCCCCTCTGGTGAAAGTATCCAGTAGCACGGGGGAAATCTTCACAACCTCCAATCGAATAGACAGAGAAAAACTCTGTGCTGGAGCCTCCTATGCCGAGGAGAATGAGTGTTTCTTTGAACTTGAGGTGGTGATCCTTCCCAATGATTTCTTCCGGCTGATCAAGATCAAAATCATCGTCAAGGATACCAATGACAATGCCCCCATGTTTCCGTCTCCTGTCATCAACATTTCCATTCCAGAAAACACTTTGATCAACAGCCGCTTTCCAATCCCGTCAGCCACAGATCCGGACACAGGCTTCAATGGTGTGCAGCATTATGAATTGCTAAATGGGCAGAGTGTTTTTGGACTGGATATAGTGGAAACTCCGGAGGGAGAGAAGTGGCCGCAATTGATTGTCCAGCAAAACTTGGACAGAGAACAGAAAGACACCTATGTGATGAAAATCAAAGTGGAGGATGGAGGCACTCCCCAGAAATCCAGCACGGCCATACTGCAGGTCACAGTAAGTGATGTCAATGACAACCGGCCAGTGTTTAAAGAGGGTCAAGTGGAGGTGCATATCCCAGAGAATGCTCCCGTAGGCACCTCTGTGATTCAGCTCCATGCCACTGATGCAGATGTAGGCAGTAATGCAGAAATCCGGTACATTTTTGGTGCCCAGGTTGCCCCTGCAACTAAAAGACTCTTTGCTTTAAATAACACGACTGGGCTGATCACGGTTCAGAGGTCCTTAGACCGGGAGGAGACAGCCATTCACAAAGTGACAGTGCTGGCTAGTGATGGCAGCTCCACCCCTGCCCGGGCAACAGTTACTATCAATGTCACAGATGTAAATGATAACCCTCCCAACATAGACCTCAGGTACATTATAAGTCCCATCAATGGCACCGTGTACTTATCAGAGAAAGATCCTGTCAATACAAAGATTGCCCTAATTACCGTTTCAGATAAAGACACAGATGTGAATGGCAAAGTGATCTGCTTCATTGAACGAGAGGTCCCGTTTCATTTGAAGGCCGTGTACGACAACCAGTATTTGTTAGAGACTTCTTCTCTTTTGGATTATGAGGGCACCAAAGAATTCAGCTTTAAAATCGTTGCCTCTGACTCGGGGAAGCCCAGTTTAAACCAGACTGCCCTGGTAAGGGTTAAGCTGGAGGACGAAAATGACAACCCACCAATTTTTAACCAGCCTGTAATTGAGCTGTCAGTTTCTGAAAACAACCGGCGTGGGTTATACTTAACAACTATCAGTGCCACCGACGAGGACAGTGGGAAAAATGCAGACATTGTGTATCAGCTGGGGCCCAATGCCTCCTTCTTTGATCTGGACCGTAAGACGGGAGTTTTGAAAGCCTCCAGGGTCTTTGACCGGGAAGAGCAAGAGCGCTTCATTTTCACCGTCACTGCCCGGGACAACGGGACCCCTCCCCTCCAAAGCCAAGCGGCTGTGATAGTCACCGTGCTGGATGAGAATGACAACAGCCCCAAGTTTACCCACAACCATTTCCAGTTTTTTGTGTCGGAGAATCTGCCAAAGTATAGTACTGTGGGGGTGATCACGGTGACAGATGCAGATGCTGGGGACAACAAAGCCGTGACTCTTTCCATTCTGAATGACAATGAGAATTTTGTGTTGGATCCCTACTCCGGAGTCATCAAGTCCAACGTGTCCTTTGACAGAGAACAGCAGAGCTCCTACACTTTCGATGTCAGAGCCACCGATGGAGGACAGCCACCCCGTTCCTCCACTGCTAAAGTCACCATCAATGTCATCGATGTCAACGACAATAGCCCCGTTGTCATCTCACCACCGTCTAACACGTCCTTTAAGTTGGTGCCCCTCTCGGCCATTCCCGGCTCCGTGGTAGCCGAAGTTTTCGCCGTGGATATTGACACCGGAATGAACGCGGAACTGAAGTACACCATTGTGAATGGGAACAACAAAGGTTTGTTTCGGATCGACCCAGTAACAGGTAACATCACCCTGGAGGAGAAGCCGGCACCCACTGATGTGGGCTTGCACCGTTTGGTGGTCAACATAAGCGACCTGGGGTACCCGAAGTCCTTGCACACGCTGGTGCTGGTTTTTCTGTACGTGAATGACACGGCTGGCAACGCCTCCTACATCTACGACTTGATCCGCAGGACTATGGAGACCCCCTTGGACAGGAACATAGGGGACAGTAGCCAACCCTATCAGAACGAGGACTATCTCACCATCATGATCGCCATCGTGGCCGGCGCCATGGTGGTCATTGTCGTGATCTTCGTCACTGTGCTGGTGCGCTGTCGCCACGCGTCAAGGTTCAAAGCTGCTCAGAGGAGCAAGCAAGGCGCCGAATGGATGTCCCCGAACCAGGAGAACAAGCAAAACAAGAAAAAGAAACGGAAGAAAAGAAAGTCCCCCAAGAGTTCGCTCTTGAACTTTGTGACGATCGAAGAGTCCAAGCCGGATGATGCCGTTCACGAACCCATCAATGGGACCATCAGCCTGCCCGCTGAGCTGGAGGAGCAGAGCATAGGAAGGTTTGACTGGGGCCCTGCCCCTCCAACAACCTTCAAGCCCAACAGCCCCGACTTGGCCAAGCACTACAAGTCTGCCTCTCCACAGCCGGCGTTTCATCTCAAACCAGACACTCCCGTTTCTGTGAAAAAGCACCATGTGATTCAGGAACTCCCTTTGGACAACACCTTTGTCGGGGGTTGTGACACGCTTTCCAAACGCTCTTCCACTAGTTCAGACCACTTCAGTGCCTCAGAGTGCAGCTCCCAAGGAGGCTTCAAGACAAAGGGCCCCTTACACACCAGACAGGTAAACGAGCACTTCTACTGGTCTATAAGTACTGCATACAAGTGCCCTGTCAACCAGTATTAACATACCATACCAGTGTGGCTCTTGCGTTGGTCTAACTTTACCTTAGTTATATCCTAAAGAGGGAAGGGAATTAAAGGGGGGGGGGGACTTGACCCCTTTTCTATTACTCTGGGGCTCAGTCAAGAATTTTTAGAACAGCGTTGACATTTCTGACTTCTGAGAATTATTCAACCTCCTAGTTTCCTTCAAATGGTAAAAGATGAAAAGAGGAAAAATGTCCCGTCCCCTCCCAAAATGTCCCAAGGTAATGCTTGCCAAAGAAGCAATGCTGTCTTGTTAGGGCAGATCCTGCTCCTGGGGTTCCCAAATTGACTGCTTCAAAATGTCCAAGTCCTGTTTTGATCTAAAAAAGTCACCTTCAGATCTCAACTTTGAAATGACATTTGAAGGTCTGACTACTATAAATCTTTTGGGAGCTGTGGTTGCTACCAAGGGTTTTTTTTCTTTTTTCTCCAGTCTCTAAACAAGATCGTAGAATATTAAGTATACATCACCTATGATGCACATGGTTATTGGTAGCTTGCAACTAAGCCATATAGGAAGTCTTCTCTTTGATTTCAAATTATTTTACTGTCTTTTAGAAAATTGGGTATTTCATAGAAAGATTTTCAGATTGTCCACCACAGCCAAAGTACTCTTTCCAAAACCAAACAAACAAAAAGAAATGCTTTTCTCCCTAACAGAGCAGGTTTATACAGAAAAGAATGAATCCATTGTAAATATTCTCTCATTTTAGTAATGCATAAGTGATCTGTCATAACTCATTTTAAACTGTGAAGTCTGCCATGTGAAGAGGGATTAAGAGGCTGAGAAACTCATATTTCAACCAAATCCAGAATCAGTTTTTCTTAGGTCTAATAATTCCTTGTTAATAAAGATTTAAATGCAGCGCTGTCTAATTTATTTCACTGGTGCTTGTCCATTGCCACAAAATTTGAATGTCAATAATAGCCTGTAGATGGCACTAGGGTATCATGGCGCCTGTGTTGGCCAGGTGCCAATCCTGCAGTAGTGAGGGAAGGGGGGAGGGAAGGATCAAGCTGGTACTACAGCCAAAGATACCTTTTATTTAATGATAGTTGCTCTGGAGCAACTAGTATTTAAATTCATCTGCTTGCTCTTTTGTGCTTAGTTCTCATCACACCAACTTTCTAGGATTTTGTCACCTACTTCCTGTCTCTGTTGGTGTAGTGAGTCACCTGGTAGAGATGGGCACATTTGTGTGTGACTAAAAGGAAGAAATTTTTCTATATACTTCAGAAGGCCAAGAAAAGTTAAAATGAGCGTGCAAGACAGTGACTGTCATGGATGAGTTCTTGCAAAATCAAGTATTGTTTTCTACTATTTTTCTGGGAAGAGGCTGAGTGGAGCGGGGCATCTTGTTGGAACTCTTGTTTCCCTCTTACTCTCTCTTGCTTGTTACTCTAGAAGCTACTGTAAGGCTTCACATTCATAAGATATGTATTACTGCAAGTGACATTAACTATATGTCACACTCATGCTCTCAAAGTATGATTTAGCAGCTATGATTATGCACCTAAAATCTCCATTTCTTTAAAAGTAAAAGATCTACAGTATGTTTAAAGGACAGATTCTTAGAGCCAAATGCACACAATGAGAGCACTTACTCTGTTATGGAAGATCTAGCGGCGACGATGAGGTTCTCATGTCCCTTGAAGTTGGGCTGACTTCCTTTCTTGTTAACTTGATCAGTTTTTAAAAAGAGGTTGGTGTTTTGAGACTTAGAAACTGTCCGGGCCCAGGAAAGTTTTTTTGTTGTTGGCTTGTTTTTTTTAAGTTGTAAGATGGTGAATTTTGTGATTAGCTGCAATTTCATTAATTAACAATTAGTTAGAAAAGCAATTTAGGAAACTAAACATGCTTACCTTGCTCGTATTGTGAAAGTCACTCAGAATATACTTACAGTATTTTTTGGTTGCACAATAACCTGAGGATAATTAATGTGATTCAGGACTTTCCATATAAAGTCTGAAATGTTTTCGCCAAAGAAAAATACTGATAGCTTGCTTCCATAACCTTTTCTCTTATGTAAATGTGCTGGACATGAGCATTGATACACAGATCTACTCTCTTTGACTTAAACCGGGATAGTTGGAGCCATATATAATTCTACGTAGTGTAGTGACTTCAATGTTAAGTGCATTTCTGCAAAGTCTGGAAAAAGACTTGTGGTGGAGGCTGAGGCTGTCATGAGATTATTTGTTTGTCTGATGGAAGTTTTCAAATAGAATGCTGAATAATTCCTTAACTGGAATTAAAGGACGTACATTCTAAACTTTCCTGAGACAGCTGCTTCATTTGACCCTTCTCTTGGTAGGTGTGAGGATGTCCGGGCAAAAGTTTACCAACTTTAAATAGCATTCATTTGTATTACTTAACCAATGAAAATACACCCAGCTTTGACTTCATGGGTTGGTTTGTGGTGCATCACTACCTAATTTACCCCTCCATCCCCCAACTCTGCCCCCTCCCCTCCCCCCAGGGCTGTTTCCCCTATAAAAGAAAAACAATGGTAAACTAGTTTTCATTCACTGTGTTTTAATAAACTTGGCAGTTTTCTTGGATGTCACAAATCTGACACTGGTTAACTCCCAAATTATTTTTGTGAATAGTTTAGATGTACCCTTCACAGATTGAGTGAAATTTCTATATTTTATCAAAAGATCATGTCTTGATTTTTTTTTCATAAAGCAAAGTTTACAGCCATAGATCTAAGACAGATTACAATATAATCAGTTCCCACAGGGCTTTATGTGGTAAAAGTGTATTGAATATATACACACTCATTGGTATAGTGTATTGAAAATGAAAAAAAAAATTCTTAATAAATATGACAGGATAAACAAACCATGTGTAATTAGTTCTCAATGTTCTGCATGCTTCAAAATCACCTGGGAGACTTCTAAAAACATAGCTGATTGGGCCCGACACCTGGAAGTTCTGTTTCCCTGCACTGTGGCAGGGCGAGAAATAGTCCTGTGGCTAACAAGTTCCCGGGTGGCGGTATGTTCCCAGGCCAGGCCCACACTCCTAGAACCACTGCCTTATCACCATGGAATAGGACACGTCAGTTTCTTTTCTTTCAGATGAGCATCTCCAGAGGACCTGTTTTAACACAGCCCTCTCTGAGCCCACTTATTGACAGCTGTTTATTGTAGCTGCAGGCTTTTTAGTAAGCTGTTTATTGCTAAGCCCCGTTGATAACATTTGAAGAATTAATTTTCTTGGCCCAAGTGTACTTTGGGAGGAGGGGAGGCTATAAATGAAATTTTTAAAAGAGGAAAAAGATTAGTAGGGCTATTTACATTTGACAACTTCTTTAAGTGATAAAACTCTTTTTTAGTTGCGCTAGAATTCGGTACTAGGTAAATTGCCGTGTTTCGTTTTCTGAATGAAACCATTGGCGGTTGAACTCACGCATCTTGAATTTTAACTTCTCGCATTCCTGAGGCCTATGTGCTCATGAAGGAATCCGTGTCTGTATCCTGAAATGATACACTAAAACCTGTGTCCCTGGTACACCCAAGTGTGTGCATGTGCTTGCATGGTATGTAGGGAATTGCTTTTCCTGCAGATCATTTATAAGTACTGCATTACATTTATGATTCCTTTTCACTTTTGAGTAATCCCTCCACAGCACAACACATGTGATTATGTCATATAAAGTGCACAAGACAGTGATAGACTCGCTATTTAGTGCAGTGAAAAAGCCAAGTGCAATTGGAAATCACACAAATGTGAGTTTAGCAAAAACTTTACGATAGCTTAAGCTACTAAATTTTGGTGTGTGTAGATAGTAAGAGTTGACATCTGCTCCCCCAAATGCAAAGTATTTGTTATTGTTATCAGTTGCGGCTTTTATTCCTATACCTTCTCTTTCCCTAAGTAGTCCTTAGTCATGCGATTAGTTTCCATAGTATGAGGTTGAAGACACCCCCACACACTTGCACATTCATTCAGGAATGTGAATGAGGGATTGATATCTGTTCACACTCTGCTTTCCCCTTCTTCCCCAGTTTGTTACTGCAAGGCTATAAAATTCAATGGGCACCCTTGTCTCCATTACTAGTAATTGTCAGGAGAACCACAATGAAAAGGCCTCCTTGTATTTCACATGTCAGGTAGATCCCGAATAATTGTCCACCAAGAAAATGATTTCTGTATTTGAATAGTTATGATAATACTTCCTAATGTTATTGCAAGTAAGTCTAATTACTGAAACAATGTCAGTGGAAGTTTTGTCTTAGTTTTGATCAGTCATTCCCATGGTGACAGAGAACAAACAGATTTTTGAATCATTAAAATTACCTGAATCTTTTTGCTTGTTTGACTCTTGAAATTTAATTTGCAAGTGGACATACCCTTTGAACTACATTCAGAATGTTAGAAATCGCAACTTGACGGGCCTCCCCATACCCCACCTTGTAGTGCTGAGTTATGCAAAAGCTATCTTTTCTCAGAGCTCTGTTTCCATGGTTAATTTTAAGGTGTTGTAGCATTTTTTTGTTTATGCTTTCCATTGCCCCTGTGGGGGGCAGGGTGCAGAATTCCAGGAAATCCTAAAAGAGGCACAGGCCTGCGCCTGTGGGGTGGGGGCAGGGTTGCAGGGCTTGCATTGCCTGCCCTGCTCTTCTTCAGGACGTGCTCAGCTCCACTTCATCACGCGTGTCTTCAGCTCACAGAGAGTTAAACAATCAACTAACCAATCACAAGAAAGGGAATCTTGTGGATTTTCTTGGTACAGTTTTCTCTTTAAATCTTTGGAATACACTTTCTCTGAGTTTGAGTCTGGTGTTCTATTAGAAGTGATCCTTAACCTAAACTGTTCACTTGTCTCTTTAGTGTCTCTTTGTAACCCGAAGAAGTGTATATTAATATAATAGAGCCAACTAAATTGGAAACTAATTAGGAATCAT